CACAGTAATGCAAGAGGCTAATAATAGGAGAAACTATGTACAAAGGAGATGGGAAATATGAGAAGTCTCTGTACTTTCTGCATAATTTTTCTATAAACCTCAAACAGCTCTGGGGAAAAATGCCAATAAAAAAAAATACAGGCTTCTCTGACTCTGTCATTTCTAAGAATTTCTGTACATGTACATATAATTCATAAAAACCAAGAACTCTCCGCAATACCACAGAAAGGGGGGCTGGCAACCATCTAAATTCCCTCAGTAAGTAGGTTACTAGCTGAATAAAGTTTGGTCCAGTGGCACAATGGGATACTACGCAGACACACACAAAAAAAACAACTCTCCGCACATGGCAGGTTTAAAGTATCAACCTTCTGGTTAGCAATCCAACGCTTAACTCACCATGCCACCAAGATTCCTTATGTACTAACATACTCATGATGCAGTGTATAATTATGTATGCTACTGTTTTTTACCAAAAAAAAGGACATAAATGAAAACATACTGAGCTTATTTTTAGAAGGAAATACAGAAACTAGTAACCATAGTTGCTACTGAAGAAGAAAAAGAGGTCAGATTATTATATATATATATATATATGTATATATACAGACTGTATGCTTCCTATACCACATGCATGTAAAGGTAAAAATAGCATTATAAAAATATAGACACAAATAAATGCTTACTGTTGTGTTACATATACTGTTGTTGAGTGCCATAGAGTCAGAACCAACCCATAGCTGACCCTGTTTCAATAACCTGTTAAGTGATCAGCTACAGATCATTTCCAACTTGATAGTAGAAACAATGTCAACAACAACTGCAAAGAAAAGGAGCCCTGATGGCATAGGTGTGGTGTACAATGTGTTGGGCAGTTAACTGAAAGGTTTAGCAGTTCAAATACACCAGCCATTCCAAAGGAGAAAGGGACAGTGTCCTCCTATAAAGATTTATATAGGACAGTGTCCACCTATAAAGATTTATATAACCTCAGAAATGCGATGGAGGGTCACTGAGTCAGAACCAACTTGACAACAGTGGATTATTAAAGTAAGATTTTTAATCTTAACACTGGACAATGTTCCTTTAAATAGCCTCTAGTCTTAAGGTCCAAAAACCTGGTCCAAATTATATTCTCAGCATACTAAAACAACTGTCAGATCTACTTAGAGGAGAAAAGTCAGTAATCTTTGAGAATTCGTGGAGAGTAAATACCAAAATACAAGAGGCAGATAAAAATACCAAACTTCAATTATGGGAAAGAAATGGAATTAGAAATGTTAGCGGACCTTGATGATTAACATAATTCTGTGTATGATTCAAAGAAATGGTGAGCTTTAGACAACAACTCAGAATAATGTAAGATTAATTTTGCAAATTTTTATGAGAAATGCTTTGAGACCAGTGGAGTTATTATTCTGACCACAATGAGGAAAATCTTCACAGCTTGTTAGATCTGAATTGTGCAGGCAATGTGGTGTGGGCAGGGAATCAACGGAGCCAGGCTCCTGCCTGGTGTCACCACCCTAGGCTTCCCCAAAGTTGTCCTCTGTGTGACTCTGGAGGAATCTGTTCCTTTTAGGAAGGCACTGATAGTGTCTGTCAATGTAGCTGGGAGGCAAATGTAGACTTTTGAAAGTTATTAGAAAGTTGCACACCTGGCTCCTCAGCAGAACACATACCTACTTAAATGTTTGTGAACAGATTCAAAGGCTAACATCATCTAGCCTCATCTCCCTAATGGGTGAGATGACCTTGATTCATTCCATATCCTTAATCACAGGAATTAATATATGTGAAGTGTTTTGGTTACTATAAAGAGCTGGACAAAAGAAAAGGAAACATAACACATTTTTAAGGCATTGCATTTGACAGTGATGCAAATTCTGGAAGAACTAACAAATGTCAATGATAAAAGCAAAAATAAGTAAGAGAAGAGCTCTAATAAGTTAAAACTCAACCTACACAAATAAGCATGTGACAGACAGTCTGAGTTACAACCATCTTTCTGTAAGGATGCAAAGCATGCTCCATACACCTGCGTGAAGTCTTTGCATGTCACATACTTGGATAGCCACACATCAGAGGCACTACTCAGGAAAAGGTGGCAGCCTGTTGGCCCTAAGATGCCTTGGACTATAATAACCTTTGATTCTAACTGGCTTGGAGGTTTCACATGTGGAAATGCTATTATCTTATTATCATGAGCAAGAGGACAAGAGTTGTATGTGGCAGCTCTTCTGTCCCTCTCCCCCATCATGCAGGCTCAGGATGGAACAAGTAGTTGCTCTGCACAGTACAAGTTGAAGGGGTTCAATTGACAGACATGGTATTAGGGAGATTTGCAAGTGGGAAGAGGGTGGGATGAAACAATGGAAGGGAATACAAAAGACAATATCTCAAATTCAGGACTTACTACCAGAAGGGAGGAAATGTCCACATCTGCTTTAACTTTAGAGACAAAGATGACTGGCCTCCAACCCTTAGAATTCCCACATGGATCACATTCCATATACATGCACCTGAAAGAATATTCCAGCATGCACACCCAGTTTGCCTTAGGACATTTATTATAAATGGAAACACTGTAGAAGGGCAGTGCTTTACTTAGAAATTATTTGTCCATGAAAATCTGTCCTTTCTAATCTTTCAGAAAGGAGTTCTGGGGCTTAGGAAGTAAGGAGTTGTGCTGCCAACCCAAAGGCACATGGTTCCCAAATATCCAGCAGAAAGAGAGGCAATCTCCTCTCATGCAATTTACCACCTCTGAAAACCTGCTGGAGGGTCAATTATGAGCCAGTTCTGACTGCTCGGTACACAACAACAGTGATCTTTTTTAAGAAAATGGGTCTCTAACTGTATTCTAAGGTCAGCTACATATAAATATAGACAATATGTCTATCAAAACACATGCTACAAGTTTAAGTGCTATCTTCATACTTCTCAACTATTAATTTAAAAAGAACAAACAACCACCAACTGTTCAGCTCCCACTAAACCTCCAAAGTCCATATTCAACAATTATGTAGTTCTCTTCTTTCACTATGCATTAGGTCTTGTAGGAAGTACAATCAGAGCACTCCTTAGAGGAGACGATGAGCTTCGTCTCATATATGCTGCACATATTGTTGGGGGTTAGGGGGAGGTATTCCTTGGAGAAGGACATCATTCCTGGGAAGGTGGAAGGTCAGCAAAAGAGAGCAAGACCTTCAAGGAGATGGATTGACACAGTAACTGTAACAATGAGCTCAAGTATATCAGAAATGATGAAGAGAGGGCACCAGAGTTAATGAAGAGCACACAGGAAAGCACAGAACAGGACATGGTCCAGATCTGCTGTTCACAGGGTCATAATGAGTTATATTCAACTAGATTGCACCAAACAACAACAGTAATGGTAAAACAACACATACCCCATTACCTATGATCCTTCCTTTACTCTGAAAAGGGGCATAAAACGCTTGAAAATGTTGCAGAATTGCTAGTTATACAGAGATCCAGCAGAAAGACGGAGTCACTGCATCCATTGTTCTGAACTTTTTTTTTTGGAAAGGAGAGAGTGGGTCGGGGGGGGGGGGGGGGGAAGGCGAACCGCATTGGAAAGGAGCATGCCCATTAACCTGAAGGCAGCAGGGACAGCTAATCCTGAGAGTTCCCACAGGCAAGGGAGACTTCTTGCCAAGCTGGTACAAGATTAAAACAATGGTAATGATGATGTAAGAGTTTCATCTTACACATCCATGAGCTACAATTATTTATCAACACACATTTGGGGAAAACCACACTTGTACACTAGCTATCACTAACTGAAATTTCCTTCTCACATTTAGACAGAGTATCTAGAAGTCTGTCCAGAAACGCCTAGAAAAAAGGGGACAAAGTCTTATTTACTTTGAAATAGATATCATAAATATATAAACCATGTTTACTAACTCACAAGAAGCAAAACTCACCCATTGCTCAGGTCATATAAAAGGTCTCGTATTTTGTGAATACTTGGTGGAAATTACTGGACACGACTGGGTTTTTAACCCCAACCCCCCCCCCCAGTCCATTTTCCTACCCACACAGAGTGTTCTCTCAACAGGCCTTCTGCTCCATGTCATACAACACAACACAAGACCTTGACTAGAGGGTCACTACCTACTGAAGCTTGCCAGGTTCTCTGCCACACCCCCTTAACCCCCCAAAAAAGTCGCTTCTCTAAAAAAGCAGCAGAGCCACAGTGACAGACTCATAAGACCGTCTAACATTCCAGTGATACTTTAAAAGAGAACATTTTTTTTAAATCAATGAGGGGACGAAGCTCAGAGCCAAAAAGGCCAATTTTGGGAAGAGGACTTAGAGGATCTCCACTTCTCTAGCTATAACCAAGTGCTTTAGTCGCCTTCCAAAGCAGACAGGGATGATGAGAACTGCTAGATAAAGGGACATCTGGGGAGAGGGCACTGATCTAGTTAATGGGCCCTCCTTTGCGAGAGACATAAGGAGTGACAAGCCAGAAAGGGAAGAGCTCCAGTTCTGGCTTCACCATTAGGATAGATCTTGAAAAGTAGGAGCGGACTAGGCTAGAGGGTGGCAGGTGGAAAGCCCCTCTCTGGCCCTGAGTGAAAGGAACAGCTGACAAAGTGGGGAAAGGGTCTCCAGCCTTTGTGTCTTTTTACGGCCCTGGGACAGGAGTTTAGATGCACCACGGGAAGGAAAGCTATGGTGTCCTTTGGAGTTCAGGTGCAGCGATACCGCTGGGGCCTGACAAATCATTCCCTTCACACCAAAGTAAATGGACCTTGACTTGGAGGGCAAGAAAGGAATCGGGCAAACGCAGGACGCAGGGACTCATAGACCAGTATTGCTTCGGGCGAGCATCCATCCACTGGCTCAGAAGTGCCCTTCGTTCTACACGGAGGGGACAAAGAGAAGGGTAGAGATGTCTGGGACCCCACTCGTGGACGTCAAGGGTTCAAGAAAAGGCCGAAGGCCTGGCCCATATTAGTCCTTACCTTGCTGACCACGTTCTGGACGAGGCCGGTGCGAATGCCATAGTCCCACTCGTGGCAATCACAGTTGGATGCGTTGTCCCCCTTGTCCGGAGGAGACGGGAGAGGTGGCGTGTCAGCCCACTCCACACCACTGCTTTTGCTTCGGTTGCCTGTGGTCCCCCAGGCGACAGTGGAAAAGGTGGTGGTGGCCAGCGGGTTGCTCCAGTTCCCCAGGTCGACGGCGCCCCAGCGGCCCGTGACAGGGGCCCCTTTGTCCGCCCCACGGCACCAGAAGTTCGGCTGGTCCAGGAGGAAGGAGTCCGAGAACTGGCTGAAGCCGATGAAGAGTGCAGGAATCCAAGTGAGCAGCACGAGGGTCCGCTGGTAGCCCCCGCCCAGCCCTCCGAGGAATGGCAGCACGGACCCATCATAGTCCAGCAACAGGAGGCTGGGCGCCGACGCGGACGCGCAGCAGCCCGAGTGCGGGCCTCCGGCAGCCGAGGCCGCGGGCAGAGGGGGCAGTGACTGGATCTCGCCGTCAGCGGAACCCGCACGTCCCCCGAGGGGCGCCGAGGCCGCTGCGTTCCCAGGCGGCAGGGAGCCGTTCTCCTCGGCCGGGGCTTGGTGCCGCACCGGCCCGCCGCCCGCCGCCTCGCGTCGTTTGTCTATCGCCATGGCCCGGAGTCGCGGCGCCGAGAGGAGCGCATAGAGGGCGGCGGCGCCCAGGCAGAGCGCAGCGCGGAGCCCGCAACCGCAGCCCGCGGCCGAGGAGCCGGCGCCGACCTCAGTCGCTCGCCCGCTGCGTCAGGCAGTCCCCTAGTCACCCGAGCGCGGACCTGTGCTCCGGGCCAGCCGATTGCGCTGCGGCCCGCGCTCAGGGGCCCGGAGGCGAAGGCGGGCTCTCGCCGGCCGGCCTGAGCTCTGCGCTGCCGGGGCTGGAGGCGGCGGAGCGCGGCGGTGGAAGAGCCGGTGCCTGGGCGGCTGAAGCGCGGCTTTGCAGGGCACGGCGGCCGTGCGGACAGCGGAGAGGCGGCGGCGGGTCTCTGAGCAGCCTCGGGCCAGGATGTATTTATTGGACTCCGTCGCGTCCCGGAAGCCGATAGCTGGGAGCCAACCTGCGAAGCCGG